GAACCAAAAATAGACCAAAGTTGGCATGATGCATTAATGGTGAGCTTAAGCATCCAACCATGCCTGACTTGAGAAAACCAACGAAAAATATTCTTCTAATTATGTACGATATTCTTTAGCATGCAAATGGGAGATGAAAGTCACGCAAACATAGATTCCATGATGCGTTTATTCTTCACTTGGATCCAGTAGTAGAACCAAAAAAAAATTGTAATAGGAGCGCAAAAAATTAATTTTAATTTTTGAAGAGGGTACAAAATCAAATTTTCACTACAAGAAATGTTTATTTATATATACCTATTATATATAATGACAAATTAAAAAGTTCGGATCGATGTCATCAATCTATTGTTTCATCAGATCAACTAGAAACATATCAGAATTTTCTTTAAATTATTGATTCATAATTAACATAATATGACAAGAATTAATTTTTTTTAATTAATATTAACTTTGCAGTAGTAAAAGAATAGCAAAAAAATATGCCGATTAACATAATACGATTTCTAGAAGAGGGCCGATAAAGCTTAAAAACTAGTAGTCAATCACAAACACCAAACCAGAAAATTTTTCATATGAAAAAACGAGAAAATCATAACAATGAAAACAAACCAAAAGAAAATAACAGAAATTAGTACGTAAGGGTGAGTGCATCATTAACCAAATTAACCAATATATAACAGTTAGGGCAGTGTTCTGCGAACAAAAAAGGGCCATCACATCAGTGAATGATGTAAAAATGTGAATCCAAAACACTACAAAAATTGCCTATAGTAAACCATTACTACGTACATGACTTGAGCATTGGCATATGGAGCTTATGATAGAAGAGATGAACTTACTTTCATTATGCTTTCCATAAGATTCAGGAACTCCTCGAAATCAGTGGTGCCACTATTATCAGCGTCAACCTTACTGATCATGTCTTGCAATTCCATTACTGTTGGATTTAAACCCAATGATCTCATCACTATACCAAGCTCTTCAGCAGTAATGGATCAGATTAATATTATCAAGTGAAAAAAAATCGTCCAAGTCAGCCAAAACAAATTGTAAGAGGTTATCATATCATTTAACAACTAGTATTAAATGTGAACCAAAGAAACATAATTTGGGGTTGATACACTAACACCATAAATCATGTTAAAGTCTTCTAATTTTGAATTTATAAGTGAAATCAATCACTTTTACTTCCAAACAATTAATAATAGAATACTTCATATTGACCATCACTTCCTCAACAATCATCCATGCGTGTCACCACTCTTAAATATATCAAACATGATAAAAAGCTCTACAACTCAAAAAAGCCCCAAGGCTCAAGTAAGTTACAAACAACACAAACAATTATGATCGAAATGATTAATTAACTATGATCCAAATAATTAAATAACAATGATATCATGTTAGAGAGTTTACACTAAAATAAAATCAAAATTGAGTTTGTAACACATGATTATGTATTTTCAACCCAAAAAATTTTAAGCATAAGGGACTGACATATTTTTAATTCAAGGTAGGACTTTATATGTCATGCAATAATTACAAATATAAATGCAAGTTGAAGGGAGAACTTTCAAAATTTAGCTACAGATTATCCGAAACTAGATTTCAATAAGCTTATAGCCAAACTGATCAACTAGATGAGACGAACCCAACAAATTCAAAGGTTATCTAATCAAGTAAAAAATGAGCCTAGATCAAGCACTTCAGGCATAGATGAAAGTTTCGGGACACTAATTAAAGGACCAAATGATCTCTGAATTTTACACTTTTCATCTACTCTATTTAGTCGTTGCTGTTCGACTTCGTTGCTTCGCGTGAGGTAGAGAGTTTTACACGAGTCGCTTCGTCGGCTCCTTCGTTTCTGTACGATTTCGCTGCAACGAGTCGCTGACTCGGCTCCTTCGACGACGTTCCCTTCCTGTCGGATCGGAAGTCACGACAGACGACGTAATTCCCGTTGGATCGGAAGTAAGGACGGGAGCTCGCGCTCGCTGTGAAGGTAACCATCTTTCTTCCTTTCGGGCCCTTCTTCGGCCAAATCCCGTAAATCCGCCGGGAAGTAACTACGGGATTTCTTCCGTCGTGATATTTACCGGGTGCTCAAATTCCCGTTTGGCAGAATTTAACATAAATCCTGCATAAATCCTGTTAAAACGTGTTTCCAAACAGCCCCTAAGATTGAGATTGAGAGAACGAAAGCCTCCCTGAACTCCGCCGTCAGCCTCTCCGCCATCTGCTGAAGCTATCAGAAGAAAAACAAGAAGAAGACGGATCCTACTGTTTCTGAAATTTCAGTCTCTCACTTTCTCCTTGTTGATTGCTTTGACAGAGAAAGCGAAGTGAGTTCAGCTTTGAGTAGCAACCCGCTTCCGACACAACTCTCCTATTGATTGAAAGCTTAGGCTTCCAACTGAAATGTTTAAGTTTGGAGTTCATGTGTATGCGTATGAATTTGTCTTAAATGACCTAAATGTCCAAAAAAAAAAAAAAAAAAAAAAAAAAAAAAAAAAAAAAAAAAAAAAAGAGCAACCCGCTTCCGAACCGCGTATCATATTAATAAGAAAAAGAGGAGGCTAAAGGCTACCGTGATCATGCTAAAGCGAAAAATAAAGTTTTAATAAAATATATTTAGATAAATTTTAAATACTTAGTATTATATTGTGATTACTGATTAGCATATTTTAAATTTCATTAAAAATTTTGAAATTTTAAAATCTATCTTCATTATTTTAACGGGGAAAACATCGGAAAATTTCCCTGGTAAGTATGGTGGGCCCGTGCTCGACTACAAAAGATTCAAAAAGATTTGTGAAACTACCCGTACTAATTTTAAATAAATAATGCTTATCTTTACCAATTAAAAAAATTAAAAATATTATAAATTATGCAAGTTTAATTGTGCATTGTAGCCTTGTAGGGACAGGTGGCAGGCTAGATGGAGTGATTTAAATCTGATGGAGGATGAGATTGGGTCTGCGGCATAGTGGTCGACGGAGAGAAATTTCTCAGATCTCACCCGAGTTCGAATCCCCTAACTGTCTAAAAAAAATCCGATGCAGGTTTGGACACGTGCAATTTTGACCTTAGCGTAAGGTTGAGCCCACCTTAATAGGTTGTTACGTAGTTGGTACGTAGTTTTCACTATCAAAACTAACATTAAGAAAGCCTAAATTGATAGGTGATATATCTTTCAAAAATTATCTTGATTCGGCGCTAATATCGATGCAATATATGAGTTGCAGGCTTCACAAGTTTTAATCAGGATCATTTGAACTCCGATTTCAACAAGTTTATAGTCAAATTGAGCATCTCAAGGTGATGAACCCAACGACACCAAATTAAATCCAAACCAAGCCCAAATGAGTCCAAATCAAATGATCAAAGCCTATTTGGAAGCTATAGAATATTAATCGGATGACCAAATGACATGCCTCTCATTCTTCATTGAAAGGGAGGAAAGCAAGTAAGAGAAAGAAGAGAAGCGAGGAAGAGAAATTCAGAAGCTCTTTTGCCACCAGATTCCTTGATCACCGTCCGGCTATCGACCTTTGCTGAACTTTTGCCCAGCCACTGACCAACGCTAGACTTCCTCTCGACCACCAACCGTCGACGAATTTCCTCCTACTGTTGACCGTCATTTGACCATCAACCAGCCATCGACTATCAAAGGACTTCCGCCTAACAACCGACCATCGCTGGACTTTGTCCTAATAAGCATTAAACTAATGTTCTACTACTTTCAGATTTTTTTCCCAGCCATCATCATTGATTTTCCTTGTAAAAACCCTAGTATTTCTATTTTATATGTTAGTGTGCTAGGTATCCATACAACATTAGGACGAAAACTCTCTTACTTTATCGTCTCCCAAATATTCTAGCCCACAACAATAGGAATAAAATCTTTTTGTTTTCTGTGGAGTTTATGCTTAGTCTAAATACAATTATCAATTATCAAATTAATTAAATATCTCTTAGATGGGGAAAAGTTCTAGAGCAAGAGGCCAAAAAAAAAAGTTACCCAAAAATAAAATTTAACCCTACAAATAGAATATACAAAATCTCAAAAAAAAAAAAAGTTAGGTTATAACAAATTAAAATTTTAAAGGTCTTATACTAAATTTAAAATTATTTTAAGAGGATTAGAACATTTAGCAAAACGATTAATGCATTTTTCTTTCAAATTTTCTCTAACCAATTCAGCGGGCTCTTTTCACAAGTCTAAAGCTAACCTATTTTATCCACAGTTTTAAAATTTGGACCGAACTGATATCTGCCCAATCGGGAACTGGTCAGGTAATCGGTCCGTTCAAACCCAAAAATCTCTTTAACATTAGACCGGTCAAAATCGGAGTGAACTGCCAGTCCAACCAAATTTTTTATTCAAACATCACATAAAAATTTATGTTTATACTATCAAATTATTAAATAAGGCATCTCCAATCGAAAAATACATTTTTCACTCTAAAATACCGTAAAATTTTAAAATGCATAGTTCAATTCCAATAGAACTCCATTTTTCTTTTTTCGCACACTTCTTTGCGAATGTAATCATCTCTCTTGTTTCGCTCACTTCTAGCGAAACTAAATATAGTAAGAATTTCGCTCACTTCTAGCGAAACTAAATATAGTAAGAAGATACTCTTTTTTTTTTTTAGTTGGTAAACAGTGCGATACCAATACGTATTGTTAACCCACCGATTTTTGGAGTAAATTTTGGAGTTCGAATGCAGTAATTCACGGATAGCATACAATGACATACAGTTCAGTTGGAGATAATCTAATAATAAATTCTAGCTATCATGAGCGCCCGGATTAAGCCTTCTATATAAACAAAAATTATAGCTAACCTAACAAGTGAAGCAAATAGATAAATATCATTAATAACATATCAAAAAAGGAAACTATTTATGTGAGACCATTCAATAATCCTTATGCACAAATCTTGAAAGAACCTATAGATAATCACAAAATTATACTAATTCCGTCCCATGATCTCATTCCGCGAACAGCTCATACTCACCACCAACAACAAGAAAAAAAAAACTGAATTCCAAACAAAAGAAGTAAATGTTAAACCCACAGATAGTATCAATATTACAAATATAGCTAATGTTGCAGGCAGGGAGTTTGAGGAGTGACATGCCCGCTTGCACTTCCTTGTGCATTGATGCAATAAGATTGCAGACGAATATTGGCTTGTTGAGGAGTAAAGCTCACTTCACTCATGGTGATGTCGCGGCACGGCATGCTCGAGCTGCAAGCCAATTTGATTGCCACATCACTGACTGAGCTTCCTTGCAAACCCAGATATGATACCTCGCTTATCGCCACATTTCCCGTCTTTGATCATCATCATCAAATTCAAATGAACAAAAAGTGTCATTGCTAGAGGCTGATTAATATGAGGATATAAAGGCTTCGTTTGGGATGACTTTTTTTTCTCTTCTTAAATCAATTTTTTAGTTAAAAAATTTAAAATTTTGTACTAGAAAGCTGCTTTAAGAAGCAGTAAGAAAGCCGCCCCAAACGAAGCCAAAGTTATTTGTATAGTGCTCACCTTATTTGGACAGTTTAGTTCGGGGCAGTAGTACTGATCAATGACTATAACGCCTGCTTTAACTGAAGTGAAGTTGATGTTCTCATAGGAGATAGACTTGGCATGACCAGCCCCACCCTTTCAAATGCACAATTCCAGGAAATTAGCATTAATTGTGCATTAGTTTAAGAGAGAACTATGGTTTGGTTCGGACCGATGATACTAGATTAGCATATTATTTGCTATACTCTGATAATTAAAAAAAAAAAAAAAACATTGTTTGTTTTTTATTGTCTACCTGCCATGTCTTAATCCGTATACCAGTAAGGGTGTTAAAAATGTGGCTGTTGGAGATACGAATTCCCTCAACATTGTCTTCAACGCCATTTTTTCCAAGGCTTCCAATGCTACACATGAATTAAAACAATAACGTTATGTATTTTTCTCTTTAGCCATGCATGAGCCTAAAATACCTACATTAAACAAATTTCATTAGAAATTTTATGACGAACCTTATGCCATGACCAGGCCCGCAAGTAACATGGCTCACATTAATATCATAGCTACGAGGCCCGATTGCGATGCAATCATCTCCTGAAGATGAGTGAACTTTTATTTTTATATGGTAATTAAACATTCAAAATATGGAGGCATGGATGTACAATCAACAATGTAAATGTAAGAAATTTGTATAAGGCATACCTACTCCAATTGTGGAGTATGAGATGGTGCCATGCTGGGAATCAGAGATAAGAATTCCATCAGTATTTGGCGAGTCCTCAGGAGAAGTGATTTTGAGACCACTCAGCGTTGCATAATCGCTTTTGTATACCACTAAATGCTTTCCAGGGCTGTCCTTTAGGTTAAGATTCTTAACTCTAAGATAATCACATCCCATAAACTCCATTATCTGATGTTATTATCAGAATTTTTTGCATTCAAAAGAGGCCAAAGTAAACGAATTCGTTAAAAATAAATCAATAGATGACAATCAAGCACACTGGAAATAGTGATATATTCATACTTACATATGGTGCATCCCTGCATTGCTGTCGGTAGAAAGCATGAGAAGAAAATAGAAACTAGTTAAGCAAAGATTTGAAGGCTAATTATAAATAATTAATTGCATAATTAATATCATAAATGAATTTGCTAATAATAGCTAGCTCAGCTTACATTTTTGGACAAGCAATCCCACCATATGGAGCCTTTGCCATCTATTAAACCATTACCGAGCACAGTTATTTTTGGTATGTTTTTGAATACGATCCACGTATCGATTTGATTTGTCCACAATCTGTTTGGGGCCACAAGACCTCCACTGATCTGCTTGTCAATTCAAAATTTTGATTGATTTAGATATAATGACTATCTTTCTCAAGAAAATATTTACCCAAATAATTGAATCATTAAAAGTGACATAATTACCAAAAACTTCAAGCTGGAACTACAGGGCCCTTCAAATATTATTTTGCTGAGCAAATAGTTCTTTCCTCCTTTGCCTGTCACAACAAAATATGGATTTCTAGGATCTGCACAGGCAGCTTTCCACGCATTCAAAAAAGCCTTTATCGATAACAAACTAATTTGTTAGAAAAATATTTACATGTTTTATTAAAAAAGTATATAAAAAAAAAAGTTAAGAAGAAGAAGAAGAAGAATGCATAAATTTGAAGAAACAATTTACAAAATTTACCTTAGTGTCATCTGTTTTGCCATCTCCTCTTGCTCCGTATGTAATCACATTATAAACTGGGGAAGCTCCAGCAATAACCGCAACCATCAAATATAAAAGTATGATTGATACAAATTCCTACATAAATAATTTAAAAATAATTAATCTACAATGCAAATAGAATGCCATTTCTAACATTTCAAGGAAGATAATAGTAACAAAAAAAAGGGTAATGAAAATACCAATTTTTTGAAGGTGTTAAAACTCTACATTGTGTTGATTTTGAATGTGAAAGAGGAGCACTATAAATCTTATAATTAAATTTTAAGAGGCTGTTAGGTAGCAGGCTTTAAAGAGCATTTAAACTAAAATTTCGTTTCAGATGGCATTTTTTTTGCTTCTTAAATCAACTTTTTAGTAAAAAATTAAAATTTTTATACTAGAAAGCTATTTTAAATCATACAGAATCTTAACATTTTTTCTCTTCTATTGTCTTAAATCTCGAATTTAGTAAATCTCAGCATTTGCCGAATTTATTTTAGACATTATGATGACTTTTTTGTATTCTCTATATTAGCCGACACCTATATTCTCTTCTAAAAATTCCTTTCAGGTGATTGTTTTGTCATCGAGAAATTCTTAAGAAAAGAAGAAAAGTTATAGAAAGGGAAGATAAATAGATGTCTAACCATTGTGTTCACTCTTATATATCAACACCAAGATAGATAGAACCTTGGATTCTCTGGCACCTCCAGCAACCTCCTGTTGCAATCTACACAATTATCAAAATATAGAAAGAAGTCTCTCTATCTTCCCCATTTTTTCTATAAGGATAAGAATAATAATCAGAGCAGTATTAATTTTCCTTTAAAGACAATCCATTGGGCGCAATAAAGAGGACTAAAATACCTAGAAGATGATTGCATCTTAGGGAATACTTCTGAATGCACAAGGCATTAGGCATGTTAGACTCTCAGAGGTATTACTGAAGAGAGTGCAAATCTAGCGGTTTATATTTTTTGGTGCAATGGCGTCTCTTTATTTCTCGCTGAACAAATGAATTAAGACTCCTCTAATTCTTAAATAGATAATAAAATTAGTTGTTTTCATAGATAATATATAGTTATAGATAGTAAAATGAATATCTTCTTTACCTCACAATATGAATTACAATTTCTCTTCAACTTTTATTATAGATAGATATTAACATAATTTTTTTATTTATATATAACATAGATATTGATAAATTATGAAAATTGGTATATGAATTGTTAACAAATTTCAAGAGATGTTATTTACTTACTAAATTTAAAGGCAGAGATTTTATATTAGGAGAATCAAAAGCTCTTGTTGAAAAACTCTTGTGGTATATTCCGAAAGATTCTCTTGTACCATTGTAATCCTACAAATGGAAAGAGCAAATAATTGTTTAATTATAGCATAAGAAAATAAATTTTAAAGAGTGAAGCTAACCATATGCTAAGGTCAATGTAAACACCATGAGATATCACTAAAATTATTTTGCTTATTTGCAAGTAAATATACCATATAGCTCGTTATTTTCTCACATATCTACAAATTTAACATACATGTTTAAATTATCATTAAGAAGTTTAAAATGTTATTGAAGTAATATGCAAAAATATTAAAATATCAAATGTTCATCTAATATGGTATATGAAATTCAATGCACTAATAGATTTTTTAGAAACTAAAAATGTTTTAAACCTGCTCGAAATGACATAAGGATTGACGATTAACCTGCTCGAAGAGACATGAATCAGCATTGAGAAATTTTGTAAGGAAAATATGCGAATCTGAGAGTCGTTTCCTGTGTTGGTTTCTCGAATTTATTCTGCTCAGAGATGGAATTCATTTATGCCAAAAAACCAGGTCGTGATTGGTGAAGAAGAGAGGAAGGCGAAATCAAAAGCGTATCTTGGATCGGGTAATTTATATAAAATGAAGAACTTTATTTGGATGGAAGAAGCGGGAGCGGAAAAGTTTTATTTTGGGATTCAAATGAATGATTAATGAATGAGAAAGAAATTAAGCGGAGAATTGATACCGTTTCATGTAATAGATGACAAATATTTAATTTGATATTGAGGATTTGAATTTTATTTGGAAAGAAATAAAATCTTTCTTTATAATAATATATATAGATATAAAGAGTATCTATATCTACACTATATCTACTATATAAAATTATGAATTGCTTTCCAAATAAAATCTAAGACCTGCAACTAATTTTTCCCTTTTGTTTATTTTATTTCCCTTACTTCTTACAGAACTTTTTGCGTAACTAGCAAACAAAAACTAGTAGAATAAAAGGTCAAGCATCTTAATGCGCAAATTCTAAAAACAGGAAATTTAGAAAAAAAATATTGAGATTGGAAGCAAACGGGAGGCGGGTATTATTAGTGCCGCTGCATTATTAGTTTCTTTCACTGTCTTCTATCCACATCAAACTTGTTTAATTAAACCCTAAACAAAAATAGGAAGACAATGGCAACATGGACGAAGAAGAAGATGAAGAAGAGAAAAATGTTACTTGCTCGTGAATGCGGATGAGGACGAAGGAGCACGTTGGAGAGGAAGACGTCTCAAAGGAGATGAGGCGGCATGATGACGTGATTCCTCCATTTGTTTCGGCAAATAAGGGCAGGATTTACCGATTGCCGAGATTTACTGTGCATGAAAAAGCATAGAGGCGGGATTTCTATTTGTGAAGAAATTTTTTTTAAATATAATTTAATCTATAATTAATGACTCATAAGTATAGTTAATTAGATAATAATAATAATTTCAGTGGGGGGCCGTGCCCCCGGGTCCCCATACTACATCCGCTCCTAAATCAAGATCAAGTCAAGGATGACTTGAGCTAAGCTCGACTTATTTACAACTTTACATGCTTAATCTATACTATCAATGCTACTATTTTAAAAAGAGCTGGGGTTTTCTCTAAATAAAATCTTAGCTTTTTATTTTAATTATTCAAATTAAATTTCAATCTTTTAATTCAATTATTATAATTATAATTGTTTTATTAATGTCAAATATATTCTATTAATAATTGAATTAATGTAATAGATGTATTGATTAATTGACATCTATGACTTTTTCCTTTCCTCTCTTCGACATCTTCAGACCTCTTCGCCTTACTTTTTTTATGGTTTGTTATTGAAGTATTGAATATCATACTTATGCAATTTTTGTATTTCTGGTTTCTTGGAATTGGCTTCTTAAATTACTTCATTCAAATCGATGTGCTTGTGGCAAAAATTATTGGGAATCATGCACGCCAGGTAAACATCTTACCGCATTTCAAAAATTTATGCTAAATCGGAGAAGTTTTACATGGAAGTTAAGGTAAATTTTGGATTTTGTCTTTACAAATAATTATTATTATCATAATTTATTTGTCTCTACAAATAATTATTAGTATTTGTTAGACTTATACTAGATTATTCTGAACCAATTTTAACTAAAATTAATATCTACAAATAGATGTTCCCTATCTTGATTGTTTTCCTATGTTTAACTATGAGATTCAATAAATTTTCAAAATTATAATGTTATTTTATATTTGGTTAAAATTTGTTTATAAAAAATTTAAGAGTTATTTGCATTTTTTAGTTAAGATATCAATTTTTCTTACTAATTACATGTTATTTTTTAAAGAATACAAAGTTTGGTTGTAGCTAACAATGTTTATGAGTTTACTAGGGACTTTCACGAGGGATGCGATCATATTTTTTAGATAGATATGACTTAAAAAGAAGAGCTTGAGAAGAAGATGAAGAATAGTTAATACACATGATATGGTGGTGGATAGGGGTGTCAATTTCGGGTCACGGGTCGGGTTCGGGTCGAACTCGGAACTGACCCGGGTTCAAACGGGTCAACCCTAACCCGACCCGAGTAGACAAACGGGTCGAAAAACCAAACCCGGACCCGACCCGGCGGGTTGCCGGGTTGACACGACCCGACCCGGATAGGCTGCTGGCGGACGGCGGACGGCGGTGCGGCGGGCGAGAGCGGAGGCAGGCGCGATGGCGCGGCGGGGGTGTCAAACGGGTCGGATCTGTGAACCCGAACCCGACCCGTTTTTCAAATGGGTCGGGTCCAACCCAGATTTTTCGGGTCTGGTCCGGGTCGGGTTTTCGTGTCGTGTCAAAAGTTGACACCCCTAGTGGTGGAGGAGTAGGTGAATTTGAAAAAGATCAAGCTCTATAGAGAGGAGAGAGATCAACGATTCTTTATTAGATTTGAAATTAAGAAGTATTATGTTTGCGAGCTTGAGAGTATAAATAGAAGGATTGTGAATATTTTAAATAGTATGGAATTGTACATTGGGGTTTTTAATTCTACGGAACAAAAAATTTGGAGGTATATTGACGCATTTTAAATTTAATATAACTAAAATACTTATTTTTTTATGAATAATTCATCCACATAAATTTTTTATTATTTGACACTTGCATTATATGTGATGGGTGATCGACCATGACTAGGTTGGAGTGCAATAGGTGATCGAGCGCGGGCAATCGAGCAATCAGGATTGGGCGAGGGCTAGCGGGAGAGCGAGAGCACGGCGAGTGGGCGAGTGTGAAGGTGGATGGGGGACTGCAATGGACAACGAGAATAGGTCAATTTTAGGGTTGTTTTCTGGTTTACGGGTTGATCCAAATCCAACCTAAAATTACAATCTGGTCAGAACATTGAATATGAACCCCACCCCTTTTCTAAACAGTTTGATCAAGACATGAAATTCTTCTGATTTTTGGGTTATGTCAAATATTGATATCCTACTTACGGCCAATTTAAAAAAAGGAGCATGCTTTAAAACTAAATTAGCGCAAGAAGCAAATTAACGAATAAATTTAAAAAGGAACAAACATGAAACTTTATTATCCGATTTCTAATTTGACTGAAATTTGAGAAGAAACTGGAATATAAAAGCACGATTTCTTAATATGATTTCCTAAGAAACCTATTTAGATTCTATTGTTTTGCTTTATGAGGTTATTTAATTAGATAATCTAAATGAACAAAAAGTAATCAGTAATTACTTTTTAAGAAGCAATCAATATATTTACAATTGTTAAGAAATAACATATTTAAAATTTATTTAATTTGATTTTTTTAAATTTTATTCAATTTTTTTAGTTTTGATCAAGGCTTTTAAAACTGGACCGGACCGGCCGGTTCAACCGGTTGAACCGCGAACCGGCCGGCCGGCCGATTACGGTTCTCTTGATAACAGTTTTCGCGTCGAACCGGCGTTAGACCGTTTGGACCGCCGGTCCGACCGTCGAACCGGAAAACCGGCTCCGGTTTCGAATAACCGGGTGGTTCGGGTGAAATGTGTTCTGAGCCGTTGGATCTGATCCTACGGATAATAAGAGATTAAGTTGATAGAAAACAAAAAACCCTACTATTCACATATTCGCTATTTCGTTCAGCCTGGTTCCGTCGTTCGCCTGCTCGCTCCCCCCATTCATGACCGACGTTCATCTCTTTCGCTGATCACCGAAAGACGATAAAGGATTCTCTTCTCCAACTCACTGTGAGTTCTTCACACGCTTCTCCTTCTCCTTGCATTCGGTAGTAGGCCGACCGCCGACCGCCGACCTGTTTTCGCCTTTTCAGTTTTCCTGGACTTTTCCATCTATTCTAAGATTCGTAGATTAGTGCTTACAGTAACTATAGTAACTATAGTTAACTATATAGATTACTGTATGCAGCCGTAAGTTACTAATTTAGAAGCTGATTAAAATTTAAGATTCGTAGATACTAGATTTTAGAAGCTGATTAAAATTTTAGTCTGATTAACTAGAGACACAGTCAAAACTTTTGATATTAAATTCTTTTATTGGAATATTTGATTTGATTTAAGTTTATTTAATGGATAGTTTTTATTTAATATAAATAAAAGAATATGATATAAATATAAATATATATTTTTTCTTTTATTTATATTTTATATTTACATTTTATTAAATTTATAAAATAATATAAATATTTAAAATTTAAAATAATAACATTTTAATTAAAAATACATTTTAAAATCTAATAAAAAATAAGAAAAAGTGAAAAAATAAAGACATGAGAACCCCCCGACAAACCTCTTTGGTTATCATTTTCATAAGCCCCTCACTTTGCCTAAGTTTTTTTTCTCTTCTCAATACAAATATATATATATATCATTATATTTAAATCAGGCTACAGAAAGGTAAAATGCATATATTATCCTCTTCAAATATAAAATATTATTTAAAAACATATTTAATAATATCATTTCATACCATATCTTGCCAAGAAATCTGTTTCGCAGTTGAAGTGCGCCAGCGATTGGATGGCTGCTTCTCTTCTGTTGCCTGTTGGTTTGGAAGACGAGAGAGAGAAGTTTTTTTTTTGGGGAAAAAGAGAGAAGTTTTGAGAAGGAAGAAATGAGTGTATGAGGATCAAATAAGAAAAAAAAAAGATGAAGGGCGGGGGAGAGAGAGAGAGAGAGGGAGTTATGGAAGGGAGATATTGTGGGGGATCACATGTTTTTATAAAGAGATGATTGAGCTATTTTTAAATTGTTTCCAATTTGGTCATAATTGTATTTATTTGAGAGTAAATTTACAAAATGGGTGTTCTTTATCTTTAAAAATGTTCAAACTAATATTTAATTGTTTTTTATTTTAAAAAATGTATCACCAGCTTGAAAAATTATTGTTGTAAGCATCATCTTCATG